TGATCATCTCTCACCATCTCCTCTCAGTTGCCAAAAGCCGCCTTGTAACTAGTTGTCCCCAGTTTCTCTGTCGATGTACGCTAGGCTTTAAATCTGACCTATCTATTGGAAGAAAATTGCTTAAATCAAGAAATATATTCTTGTTTTTTTAATAATAAGAATATTTTGCTGCTGACACCAGCACCTCCAAATCTGAGGCCATGGGGCTCGACCGGAAAAAGATGCCTTGCCCTCTCCGGGTGGGTGGAGAGGTCCTTCCTCAAGTGGAGGAGTTCAAGTATCTCGGGGTCTTGTTTTCATGTGAGGCAAGGATGGGGTGTGAGATTGACAGGCGGACCGGTGCAGCGTGCGCAGTGATGCGGTCGCTGTATCGGACCGTTGTGGTAGCTGAGCCGAAAGGCAAAGCTCTCAATTTACCGGTCAATCTTTGTTCCCTCCCTCACCTATGGTCATGAGCTTTGGGTAATGACCGAAAGAACGAGATCGCGGATACAAGCGGTCAAAATGAGCTTCCTCCGCAGGGTGGCTGGGCGCTCCCTTAGAGATAGGGTGAGGAGCTCAGTCACATGGGAGGAGCTTGGATTAGAGCCGCTGCTTCTCCACGTTGAGAGGAACCAGTTGAGGTGGCTCGGGCATCTGTTCCGGATGCCTCCTGGACGCCTCCCTGGGGAGGTGTTCCGGGCACGTCCCATCGGGAGGAGGCCCCGGGGAAGACCCAGGACACGCTGGAGGGACTATGTCTCTCAGCTGACCGCGGTGAAGTTAGTTTGAAGTTGGATATCCGACAGACATTCAACGGTCATTGCCTTTAAAAATTCATTAAAAAAACTTAACAAAAACTTAAATGACAAAAAAAGAGGTGTACCCCCTGCAACTAGTGGAGGACTATGATCCTGACCTGATTTGGAGTCAATAGGTCACATGACCTGGAAGCTATTGAGCTAAAATGCTAATATTTGCCTTTAAAAATTCATAAATTCTTTAAAAAACTTAAATGACAAAAAAGAGGTGTACCCCCTGCAGCTAGTGGAGGACTATGATCCCGACCTGATTTGGAGTCAATAGGTCACATGACCTGGAAGCTATTGAGCTAAAATGCTAATATTTGCCTTTAAAAATTCATTAAATTTTTTTTAAAAAACTTAAATGACAAAAAAGAGGTGTACCCCCTGCAACTAGTGGAGGACTATGATCCTGACCTGATTTGGAGTCAATAGGTCACATGACCTGGAAGCTATTGAGCTAAAATGCTAATATTTGCCTTTAAAAATTCTTTTAAAAACTTAAATGACAAAAAAGAGGTGTACCCCCTGCAGCTAGTGGAGGACTATGATCCTGACCTGATTTGGAGTCAATAGGTCACATGACCTGGAAGCTATTGAGCTAAAATGCTAATATTTGCCTTTAAAAATTCATTAAAAATACTTAAAAATACTTAAATGACAAAAAAAGAGGTGTACCCCCTGCAGCTAAGGGAGTACTATGATCCTGACCTGATTTGGAGTCAATAGGTCACATGACCTGGAAGCTATTGAGCTAAAATGCTAATATTTGCCTTTAAAAATTCATTACAAATACTTAAAACATTGTAATGATAAAAGAAGAGGTGTACCTCCTGCAGCTAGTGGAGGACTATGACCCTGACCTGATTTAGAGTCAATTGATCACATGACCTGGAAGCTATTGAGCTAAAATGCTAATATTTGCCTTTAAAAATTCATAAAAAATACTTAAAAAAAACTTAAATGACAAAAAAGAGGTGTAGCCCCTGCAACTAGTGGAGGACTATGATCCTGACCTGATTTGGAGTCAATAGGTCACATGACCTGGAAGCTATTGAGCTAAAATGCTAATATTTGCCTTTAAAAATTCATTAAAAATTCTTTAAAAAACTTATATGACAAAAAAGAGGTGTACCCCCTGCAGCTAGTGGAGGACTACACCTAATCAGAAAGCACACACCGTTGCGCGGTATTTGTGGGAGCACTTCATAGTTTATTATGGCGTTCCTGAGAGACTCCATACTGATCAAGGACCGGACTTCGAGTCTAAGCTCATAAAAGAACTCTGTGAGGTTGCTGGCATTGTCAAGACAAGAACAACTCCATACCATCCACGTGGGAATCCTGTAGAGCGTTTCAACCGAACTCTCTTAAGTATGCTGGGAACCCTTGAACCCAAGCAGAAGAAGCGATGGAAAGAGTATGTGAAGCCGCTCTGCCATGCATACAATTGTACCAAGAATGATGTAACTGGCTATACGCCTTATGAATTGATGTTTGGTCGATCCCCCCGACTCCCAGTTGACCTTGCTTTTGGTCTCCCAGTCAGAGAGAAGCAGGAAAAGTCCCACTCCCAGTACGTAGAGCATTTACGTTGTCGACTTGAGCAAAGTTTTCACCTTGCCACTAGAAATGCTGGGAAGTCGGCTGAAAAGAACAAAAAGAGATTTGACCAACGTATCACCCCTTCTAGTTTAGACGTTGGTGATCATGTTTTGGTGCGCAATGTGAGATTGCGGGGAAAGCATAAACTTGAAGATAAGTGGGAGTATGATGTATATGTTGTTCTGAGCCGTGCAGGGGATCTTCCAGTGTATACAGTGAGACTGGAGAGGGATGACAATGGTCCAACTCGAACCCTCCACCGTGATCTTCTACTACCTTGTGAGTCTCTTTCGAGCGATAATTGCCCACAGTTCCCCGAGTCGACGCCTCCTCGCAAACCAGTGACTCGGAGCCAGAAACAAGCTGTACCGCTTGATGGGAATTATGAGGATTATGAGGATGAGGATGATTGTCTACCTCAATTTGGAAGTCTTTCACCTGAAACTTTCACTGTTGAAGAAACCACCTTACCGCCACTTTACAATGTTCCAGAGTGTGTACCTACCGGACCTGTGAAACCCGTACCTGACCCTGGGGAGTCCTCTGCTGATCCTGTCTTATCGCCACCTCCTTCTGTAGAAGAAAATCACGAGTACTTACCTGAATCCAATGCGACCCTTCGCACCGACGAACCTGGGATTGGAGAAGTGGATGGAACGGATGGAGAAAAGGAGAGGGGTGACCAAGCAGAGACATCCCCAGAGTCGACCGGCCCTGCTCCTAATCAGTCGGTTGTTGATGACTCTGAAGTTTCCAATGCGCTGGATGTTGACCCAGCAGCTGTCCGTCGCTCTTCAAGACAGCGACAGCCGCCTAAGAGATTTGGTTATACTACTTTAGGAAACCCTTTTATTTCAGCTGTCCAGACGCTTTTTCATAATCTAGCAGAGGCCTATGGTGAGACACTTAGTACCACTCCTGGGAGCTCTAGCTTAGAATCACCTGTTCACGTTGTGTAAATGTGCACGCGGAGATGCACTATTTAAAGGGGGAGGGTGTAACCCAGATGTCAGATCTGCACTGTAGGGGAGGTTTATATGCTCTTGCTGTCTGTTGATCTTTGGGTGCTGCACGTCTCTTCCTGGTCACGTGATCGCTGTGGTCCAATAACCTTTAGTTATATGCCGGTGGTAGGAAGCTGCCAGTAGATGCAAGGGGAGGCAGGTTTTTCGTCTGCTCGAGGTATGTTCCAATTCTTGTTCACCCGTAACTCTCATGGGACCCTACACTAACTGCTATTCACGAACTTTATAGAGCCTATTGCCAGTGTGGGGTACTTTTATCCGACCTGCGTGTGACTTAGAAGCCGAATTGGTGAGTCTATGTTGTGCAGCTTGCTTTTAGCATTAGCTCTCTTCAACAACTTTCACTGTACGAGCTTGATGGCATATTTCTCAGATGTCCATTTAAATAATGTTTTAACCCAAACCAGTGGAAGTTATTTATGCATATATGGTTTTTAGTCTGTATTGTTACATGACATGCACGGTAAAGATATGTACTTTATCAATGAAGCTTACACTACTCTGAAATGACTGTATTTGTATTTGTGTTTGACTATAAGCGTGACTATTATAAATGTATGCTGCTAATGAGTACCATAGCACTTTAGTACATGTTTGATGGAATGATTATGAACTGTTGTTTGATTATGTTGATTGAACTCATTTTCAATACCTAATAATACAATTAGGGTTAGTTAATTGAGATTAATGATTGAATATGTGCACATTGATTTGATATGAATGGACCTGTCTCTTACACAGGCCAGGCCCTTTTGTGATGGCGAGCTAAAGGAACGAATCTAGTCCGGAAATCAATAATTGGGAGCTTCCAGCCAAGGACCCCACCACCTGCTCAGCCTGGGCTGGTAGAGGCTCTCGAGCCACCCCTTGTTGAACACTCAACGCCACCCACAATTCTGGTCGGTAACCTCCCTACCTTTTGGTTGAGTTGAGTTGGAAACAATAATGAACTATTGAACTTTTGAACTAAGTGCAAGTACAAAGGAACTGTACTCGTGACATAGAGGCACAAGGACTGTCCCACTATGCTCTTTCATATGAATTTTGTCGACCTGTATATATGTACATAATTTATGGTTTTCCCCCTAACTGCTTTCACCTTGAATGGCCATTCAATTCCTCCACTGTATATTGTATATGTGACACCTTTTGAATATATGGTACCAACCAAACCGCAATCAGTCTCTGCCTTCTCTCTCTCTGAGTCGAAACTATAGCCTTCTGATTCTAGCCCATAACATTCCAGATATTATATGACTTAATTTGTACCCTTACCCTGGTTACAAAAGACAACACACATGAGAGAAGAGGACAAAATATTCATCCCATTGTCGGCTTCACAGCCGCAACAGAGTTCACAGGCAAGAAGGAGGAGTTCCTGTCAAGAGATGTCAATAAACAGAGACTGATCCAGATGATAAGTGATGAACTGAGAGAAAGGGATTGCACTGTGGTCAATGCACTCGGAGATGCTGATGTAGACATAGTAAAGGCAGCAGTGGAGGCATCTCGTCTACACACCACTACGCTGATTGGAGAAGATACAGATCTCCTTGTCTTGCTCCTTTACAATGCACAGGGAGACACTATGGCTCTTTATTTCAAATCAGACAGAACCAAACCTGATGGAAGTTTTAAAGTGTATGACATCAACCGTCTAAAAGACATCCTCGGACATGACCTGTGTTCTCAGTTGCTGTTCATCCATGCCATGACTGGTTGCGACACGACTTCTCGGATTTTCGGTGTTGGCAAAAAGAGTGCTTTCCAGAAGCTTGTAAAAGGAGACCCTGTCCTTCAGTCTTGTGCCAATGCTTTCACCATCCCAAACCAGACCACACAGATTATCGAAGACCTTGGGTGCCAAGTGATGTCTTTCCTCTTTGGTGGCAAGCACGCAGATTCTCTTGAGACAATGCGATATAACATCTTCAGCAAGAAGGTTGTCTCTTCTTCGTCGTTTGTAACCCCGGAACGTCTGCCTCCAACTGAATCTGCTACCAAACTTCACTGTCGCAGAGTGTACTACCAGATCATGGTTTGGATGGGAATGGAGGAGGGTATGGATGCCATGAAGTGGGGGTGGAAGCTACTAGATAATCGGTTCGTCCCACTGATGTCAAGAATGAATGCTGCTCCAGACAGTCTCTTGCAGGTCATTCACTGTAACTGCTCTGCTGCCTGCAAGACCCTCCGCTGCTCATGTAGAAGATATGGACTGCCATGTACTACTGTCTGTGGACCGTGCCAACTTGAAGAATGTGACAATCCACATAACAAGTTCCTTCCAGAGGAGTCAGATGATGAGGATGAACAGTGACTAAGTGTATACTGTATGAAAATGTCATCTAAAAAGGCATATTGTATATTATACTATTTTTTATATTATATTTCCAGTGTACAAAATTTACGTTTACCATTATATTTTTTACTTATAACCGTTTGAGTAAATTGGCAGCCCTATTGGGACGCCATCTTGGATTTGTGAATAAATAATTAACTGCTGGTAATTTAATTGCTTTCTTTGAATTCCTTGACCCCTAAAACCTAGGGTTAGACACCAAAACCACCTTCCTAGGTTGAATAGTAATTGAGATATAGCGATTTTACGCTCTTGGCGGCCATCTTGGACGCCATCTTGAAAATTACCTTTTTCCGGATGTCAGTTTATACTAGATTTTTAGTATGTTATTTAGCATGCCTAATGGTACCAGAATCCATTGAGAAACCTTTTGTATCAATTTTTTTGGGGTTCAACGCCAATTTGATCCGTCTAAACTGTGATTCTATGCATTTGAACTGAGTCTGTTGTAAAAGTAAATTTCATGCAGCAAACCACGTGAAACGCCTAAAACGGACCAGAAACATCGTGAATTACATTCTAGCTCTCAACAACTGTGATTTTATGCATTTGAACAGATTCTGTTGTAAAAGTGAATTTCATGCAGTAAACAACTTGAAACGCTGAGATAAGCACACAACACTTGAAATCAGACTGTATTAGGAGGAAAGTGGAAATTGATTACCTGGAGCGGTTTCCCAAATCATGTGTTCATAAACAGGTCAGAGCTGTTTGTATTTCATATGTTTGCCATCATCCGCTTCCTTATGTGGCTAAGAGCATTGTACACATTTTTATATTTATTACACACTTGTTCCACAGCTTGGCATTCCGAGTGGTCTCCCATCAATGTACTAACCAAAGAGTTTTAATGTTCTGATCTGGCTTTAACGAAGGCTATAATGCAATGGAAGTAGTCTTTATAGCAGGCCAAACGGTGCAATACTCTCCGTATTATCTGATCTTGATATAAAAAAAGAAATTAGAACAATAACAATGCAAGATGGACATTTTTAATAAGTCCGTCTTAGGTCTTCCAACCACGGACGCCAATGGTCACAAAGTGAATTACAAAACTAGAAAGAGATAGTTCAGTAGAAGAAATGTTGCTGCATTATTGTCTAATTACTCGCTTCTGACATTAAGCTGTTTAGTATTAAGAAGAGAAAGAAAACTGCTTGGTTGTGCATGCTTTTACTTCATTTGTTAAGAACAGTTTATAATATGTTTCCATAAGTTCATACCATACAAATATAATTCACCCTATACCTGCAAATACATATAAAAAAAACCCAAAAAATTAGCTATGAATGAGAATATATGCATTAACGAAATTGAGATACACTTAAAATACTCAAACAGCTCCAACCCTGTGTGTTAGTCACTATTCTATATGATTACATACAGTAAGTGATTCAATCTATACCTCAATACGTGGTCTGGCTTATCATGGCAGTGCATTCTCCTGGTTTGTTTGGCTCTCAAAATGAAAAAAAAAATAGCTTTTGAATATGTCTGGCGCATCTTCTCGAGACCTAGATAAAGAAATGTACAAAAAAAAGAATTCTCTTGCTGGTTCCGGCTGGCGTCACCCCACCGAATGGCTGCCAAAGGCGATAGCTTTCGCATGATTTTGTATTATTTCACCCTGTAAAAGTATTTTAGTAATTCAATATTTCCTCCGAAAAGGGTAAAGTTTGCGGGGGTTGATACCCAAGTGATCATGGAGAGGAAACAACAAATAGAAGAAGACGTCAGAACCAGGAAATAACGACAAAGAGAGACTGCAAGACCACACCGCACCGAGAGACTAGCAGTGAGGCTAAATGCTAGCAGCGTAACCAGGAGTAAACAGAATATATCTGAAGTGTAGACTCGAATCGCTAGAGGTGGAAGACAGGCCCAGGATATTGAAAATATCTTGTCCAAAATGATTGAGTTATGAAGTGAGCAAGCGGTATCGTAGTGAAAACCTAAGATTGTATAATGTTCCCAAAGAAGGCTGAAAGTTCATCGACTAATTACTTAAAAGATGTTTGCGAACTACCCGGAGACGACTAGCCTTGGCAGTTGAGAGAGCCCAATGGGCAATTTGCATCCCAGACCGCGTGAGTAGCGTTACGGTGAGTGTGAGTAGCAGGGATGAAATAAGCTTCGGCCAATAATAATAAGATTCGCCCGCTTCACGACTAACAGGAAGTTTTCGAAAGGCTGGTGAAAAAAGCAGTACTCATGGAGGGGAAGAGAAAATTTTTTGACCAAGATTACATTCCATGCCATCTTGCAGAAGCGTTTGAGAGTACGAGCGAGGCCCAATACTAAGTGTTTGAGAAGAGAATATCAGGTTTCCAAACCCAAAAATAAGAAATAAGATCAGGCACAAGGAAATTCACTCAATTTGTGAAGAACATGAGATGACTAAAGTGTGAATGGATTTTACAAACTTATCTTCATCCTCTACAAGTCTGGCCGGAGGCCCAAACATATGAAAAAAAACATGTTGAAAAATACTATGTAATTATTGGATACAGAAGGGAGGTTTGTTATTAATCGAGAGAGTATTGAGAATGAGGAGTTGGACGTCGACGGGCACAGAGTCCCCGCTCCCCTCCCCCCTTTGCGAAATATTGGGCTTGCGCACCGGTGGCGGCAGTTTCAGTTTGTTTACGTGTGTTTGTCGAACGCAAGGTAGTAGCGTGTAGTTCTTGCTATTCCGCACTGTTTTATCATGCCTGGAAATAACGCTGCTGTTTTTTAAAAAACGCTCAATACTTCCCACGATGGATATGGAAACCTCGTAACAACGGGATACAGTTTTTTTGGTTACCGAAAATGGAAAAAAAGCATCAAGGGAGCAATTCTACGACCTGACAAGGAGACGTCGGATTGTTTTTTTTTTTTAATTTTTTTTTTTTTTTTTTAAATTATTTTCTTGGTTGGCTTGCATTGAGAAAGGACCTTTACTTTCGATCACACACCCCTGTCGGACGGAGAGTGTTTATCTGCATTTTCACTCTGGTACATTCTCTAAAAAATGTATTTATGTAGTTTGTCTCTTAAAGCTAGGAAGTGTAGGTCTAGCAGATGTATTATGTTTTCTGTAGTGCCTTTGTCTCTTGTGTCTTTGTTACCCTCTCAGGTGTTTTTATTAAGCACGTTGTTCTGCCGAGGTCTTGCCAGTGTAAAAGGCATTTGATTACATAGATGGAAACACTTAATCTCAATTATTCTGTTGTACATAATAACCTTCATATGACATTATGAGGTGACCTAAAATAGTACTTGAGATGCTGTCCATGACATGTTGCCAGTTAAAGCATTGTGACAGAGTTTGTGCAAATTATTAGTATTAATTATATGTTGTTATTATCTTCGTGTAGGTAAACCAGCATATGAGATGTTGGAGAACCACCCTGAATGGCACCATCCCTGTTGTTAGGCCACAATGATGTTACAAAAAACCGATGAAGCGAGTTATATCAGCGGCAAAGTAGGCGCAGGGGTCCCTGCCACTGGAGCGGCAGCCACCTCAGCCCAACACAAGCCGCCAGGGCGCCTCCGCCCCAGCCCTAGACCAGCGGCAGCCGCACCAGCCCTAGACCAGCTGCAGGGCCGTCCACCAGCCCTCGACCGAGCCGCAGGCGCCGCAGACACTGCCCTAGACCGAAGCGCAGGCGCCGCCGCCACCAGCCCTAGACCTGCCGCAGGCGCCGCCGCCACTCAGCCCTAACAGCCGCAGGCGCCGCCGACTGCCAGCCCTAGACCAGCCGCAGGCGCCGCCGCCGCCAGCCCTAGGACAGCCGCCAGCCCTAGACCAGCCGCCCAGCTGAACCGAGACTTGGAATGTGGACTCTGCAACTTCTAGTCCGAGATGTTATCAACACTCTTCTTGAAAGAAAACAGACAGCTGAAGCGTGTGCTTGATTCCGTACGGGATGAATGGAGAACTTCTGAGTGGTGATGATAACACAGTGAAGTATTACACGGGGCTTCCAAACTTTGATTGTTCCAGACACTTCTACTTACCTAACTCCTGATAAATGTAAACGTTAACAAAATCAAAAGTGTCTCAGCCTGTACTTGAACCCGGGTCCTCTGGCACCTCAGTCCAGTTCCTTATCATTGAGCTATAAAGCCACAGAAAATCATTCGGTGAAGAGAGAATAATGAGCGGTGAGAAGCCAATGTTGCTAACCCTGCTCACAAGTGCCACCTGGTGGTTGTTTGGGTCATTGCAGCATCACTGGGGGAAAAACAAATAAAAGACGCGTGTTTCACACGTGAGTCTCGTGCTATTCACGCGTGAAAGGCGACAAAACGAAATGGGACCTACTGTACGGTAAATGAAGTGTGGCAGAATCATAGCATTCAGAAACATGTGTGTCTGAAGTTGGCCAATGTAAAGTTTAGACTGTTTTGAAGTTTTTTTAAAATGACTTTTAAATGTTAAGGTGGAGTTGAGGCTGACGCCCACTTAGGTATATTTTTCAACATTTTTTAAATTATTTCCGTTTATTTGAATTGTTGGATAATTTAGGTGTTTAGTTCGATTTGTGAAAAACATTGAGACTGTTTTCTCTGTGTTCAGTGTTAGACAATTTTGAGACAGCCAGTCAGCCACTCTCTGAGTTTGGATGGTCAGTTCTTTTGTGACCTCATTTTCGTTTTTCCCATGGACAAAGAGTACGGTATCATCGGCATACATGATGGTGTTGGCAGTGGAGATTGAGTCATTGATGTACATACTGAATAATAGTGGCCCCAAAATGGAGTCCTGCGGCACTCCCGTGGTGTAGTCATCTAGTGGTGACAAGGTGTTTTTGCCACTTAGGTATGACCGAATCCAGTTTATTGTTTGTTTGGATAGATTTGATAATTTTCCCAAGAGAATGCTGTGATTGACCGGGTCAAAAGCCTTGCTGAGGTCAAGGAAGACTGCTCCCACAACCCCGCCATGGTCCAGTCTGGATTTGATTTCT